CAGAGTGTAACGAGTTATCAAAATGTTTAGATAGTTTTCGAAAAATGTGTAGATGTCAAAAGTAAAAATTTATAAAGGTATCCAAAGTTTTTACATTTTTGAGTTATCGAAATTTATCGAGCCATCGAATTTCACAGTTATCGAAATTGGTCGAGTTAACGAATTTTGTTGAGTTATCGATCATATATCAGATTATCAGATAAAAAAAAATTTAGTTACGGTTTAGCAGAAGATTTTCCGGTTAGTTAATTTGTACCGTATAAGTTTTGCTACGTGTTAAGTTAGAAAACCTCTCCAAGGCTTCTAAAACTAGAAAAACTGTCGAATTTCGACAGTAACTGGCACTCTAGTCCATATATTAATACGCTAACATGAAATTTGTCTCCGTTCGTTTGGAGATTCTACCCAACCGATTTCCAAACCAAGAACACCATTAGAAAGGCATTTTTCCGTAGATGAGCAGAGTTTTCAATGGTTTTACAATTGGTTGAAAATTACGCCCAAAACCGTCGATTAAACATTTTCGAATTGTGTATAGATGTTGCTGCAACATGTTCAATTTGACATGTTTCGCTTGTAGTTTCACTACACATTTGAAATTAAGCTTTGAAATAAAGATAAATATGAAGATGAAGAAATAAATGATAATGATGAAGTCAAAAAAAGAGAAGGCAAAAGTGAAGATAAAGACGAAAATGGAGACAATGACAGATACATAAGAATTAGGGTAACTGAAGGGGTAAGAACATTTCTTGAATTTATGAATTGAAACTTCTTTAGCGGCAGTTGGTTGGTTGGGAGTAAATTGTCGAATTCAAGGGGAATAATGCACATGGAAATGGTTCTCAGCGGTTTAGCCGTTTGAGAATAAAAACAAAAACAAAGATGCCTAGAGGTACAGGCAAAAACGAAGATCAAAGTAAATCTAAACACTTTAAGGTAAAGGTGCAAAAATAAAGATAAACATGAAGAAAAAGATGAGGATGAAGATCGATATTGTTATCGATATAAAACCCGATATTGCTATCGATATAATAATCGATATTGCTATCGATAAAATAGTCGATTAAATAACTGATTTTGTTATCGATTTAATCATTTATATTGTTAACGATACGTACAATAATCAATACTGATTNCAGGGTTATCGATATAATAATCGGAACATGGAATGTGATCACATTACATGACATCACATCACATTATATCACATGATATGAAGAGCCATCACATGATATTACATCACATAATATGATATCACATCACACGATATCACGTGACATAAAATCATATGATATGGCATCACATTATATGGCATGACATCATATGACTTGACATAACGTGATATGACATCGTATGACATGACATGGCATTACATGACGTGGCAGCACATGATATCACATGGTATGACATCACAGGACATGACATCAGAGGATATGATAATACATGACATGACATCCTATCACATCA